CTGAAAATAGTTCATCTGGCACACCAAATTGTGAAAATGTTTCTTTGCAAAACTTAATTACATCATGTGCAGTTTTTGTTTTAGTTTCACTGACCTCTACCCAATTTGAATAAGAATCCACTAAGACTAGATAGTAGAGTCATACTCAAAAAAGTCAGAAAATAGATATTGCCAAGGCCTATCAGGTATAGCATGACTGATTAGAGTTTCTTTTTGGTTTGAACTTTGATGAATTTGACAAGTTTCGCATTTTGAAACAAGATTTTCTATATCTATTGTCAAATTTGGCCAATAAAATATTTGTCTTGCTCTAGCTTTAGATTTTTGAATGCCAAAGTGTGATTCGTGTATAAGTGATAGCATTTCTTTTCTTAGAGATTCAGGGACTATAATTTTTGTATCCAAAAATAAAATGTCATTTGATAAATAAATATTATTTTTTAATTTATAGTAGTCTTTTAGGTCTGTGCTTAAGTTTTTGTTGCTGAGTGGCCAGGTTGTTAAACAAAAGTTTTTTACTTGACTTAGACTTTTATCCTTACTGATTTCATTTTTGAATAACTCCTTTTTTTCTTTTGATACAGGAATATTATTATAAAGCGCATGAACTATATATTCCATTTCAGGGTCATCTTTTACTTCAGTTTTAATAAATGAACGGGATAAAATATCTGCAACTAACATATCCTTACCTGGCAAATAAACAATTTTTATGTTGTATTTCAGTAATTTTAGCATCATTCTCTGCAGTCTAGTACTAATTCTATCTAGGTTTCTAGAAAATATTGGAACCAGTGGTTTGTGATCACTCTGTACTATTACTGGATACCCATAGACAAAATAATGAAATTTTTCAAACGCGAAACATATAGCCAGCAGCTCTTTTTCTATTTGAGCATATCGTTTCTCTGCTTTCGTCAGAGTGCGAGATGCAAAAGATACTGGGTGTCCTTCTTGTAATAACACACAGCCCAAACCATCACCTGAGGCATCACACTGAATTGTTATTTCTAGGTTAGGATTAAATATTTTAAGGACTGGGGAATGTGTTATTAGATATTTTAAGCGATTTAATTCATCATTGTGTGTTTGAGACCATTCAAACTTTATATCCTTTCTTGTTAAGTTTCTTAGATTAGACGTTAATGCAGAAAGGTTAGGAACGAATTTGGAAAAAAATTTGACCAGACCTAAAACTCTTAAAATTTCTGATTTATTTTTAGGTGTTTCAATAGCATTTATTGCTTCTATATTGTCCCTATCTGGTTTCACTCCATTAAGCGATATTAAATAACCCATAAATTTAACTTCCGGTAGTTTGTATTGAAATTTATTAAAATTGAATTTTATATTGTTACAGCGTGCTGTTTGGAATACTTCATGCAAATGTTTGTCATGTTCTATTTCTGACTTAGAAGCTATTATTAGATCATCAAAATATATGTGGACATCTTCGATTCCACTAAAAATTTCATACACTTTTTTTTGAAATAACTCAGGCGCACAACTAATCCCAAAAGGAACTCTATTAAATTTGTATCTGCCAAATGGCGTATTAAAAGTTGTTAAATCTGAGCTAGTTTTATTAAGCATTAGTTGCCAAAACCCATTTTTCATGTCAATTACAGTAAAAATTGATTTACCTGAAAGTTTACTTATTATGTCTTGGCTTGTTGGAATGTGAAAATGTTCTCTTTTGATATAAGTATTCAAAGGTTTCGGGTCAATGCAAAGACGCAATGATTTGTCAGGTTTTTGCACCATCATAAGACTGTTTACCCAGTCAGTTGGATAATCAACTTTTTCGATGATATTTTGTTGTTCCATTTTTATCAGGGTCTCTTTTAAGGTATCATGTAATGAGAGAGGAATTTTTCTTGTACATTGTACTACAGGTATTGCATTTTCTTGCAATTCTATGTTGCATTCCCCTGGTATTTTCCCTAAACCCTCAAAAACATCCTTGTATTTTGAAAAAATCTCATTTTTAGTTTTTGCTAATTGTAAGTAATCTACACGTTTTATTAAATTAAGGTTAAGACAATCATCCAACCCCAACAACGGTTCTGAATTACAATCTACAACAATAAATTTTATGTTTAAAGAAACATCTTTATAAAGACATGGTAAAATGACTTCACCTAATGGTTTAAATCTAAAATTCCCGTAGGATACAATGGTTACCTTCGATATTTTAAGAGAATTTTTATTAAATATATTTTGATATATTTTTTTGGGAAAAATGCTAATATCTGAACCAGAGTCCAGTTTAAATTTTACTTTAGTATTTTGGACAACAATTGTTTCATACCAAGGTGATTACCTCCATTACATTCATTTACATATAAATTAAAGTTTATATTTTCTGGCTCCTCTTCTGGCTCCACTTCTTCATATTCTAGACTTCTTACCTTTTTATTATGGTCCACTTTTTCTCGACTATCTATATTTCTTGATGATGTACTTGGAGACTTCTCACATTGATCTGTCTTCTTAAAAAAACACGCTTTGGAAAAATGTCCTGTTCTCTTGCAAATATTGCATTGCTTATCGCTCGCTGGGCACTTTCCTGTATGATGTTCATATAGGCACCTTCTACATTTGATTTTCACACTTTTTACATAGTTCACCTCTTCTTCTTTGTTTAACATCTTAACATGTATTTTGCTTAGTTCTATGCTTTTGCAATAATCTATTATCTTTTTTATTGTTAAATCTGGCTCTCTGAGCAATCTTAGTTGACTTTCTCGACAACTGATACCTACTATCAGTCTATCTCTTATCATACGTTCTTCAAAGGATTCATTACATCCATCTTTAACACAAAAAAAATCGCACAGTTTGGCTTGCTTTTTTAATTCCGTTAGAAACTGATCTATTGTCTGATTCTCTCCTTGGACCATTGTGTAAAATTTAAAGCTTTCCATTGGAATAACTTTTTTCGGTAGAAAATAATCATCAAAAGCTTTTATTAATTTCTCTAATGTAGATTGTTGGTCCTCGGTGAAAGAGTTATATATATCTATTCCTTCGTCCCCTATACAACTCAAAAGGGTAGCTATTTTTATTTCCTTTGATGCAGACAGTTTGTTAGTTGCAGTGAGGTATATTTGGAATTTTTGCTTCCACAATTTCCAGTTGTCCTGAGGATTATTACCTCCATCGAATAATGGGCTTGGTGGCTTGAAGTTATTATCCATGGTTCCAAAAATTGGTATTTTTTTTTGTCCCTTTATAATCACTGCACGTGCAACACGTGTTTTTTAGGTTAGGTTGGCTGAATAAATGAAATCTCTAAACAGCTGAGAGGCTGTTTATACCGTGTATAGTCACACTTTTTATTGTTATATTTTTACACCTGACACCATGTTTTAGTTGTATTTTATAGTTGTATTAAAACATTCCACACTTGGTTTTAAATATCTTTATTCACCTTGTCGTCATCTGTCAATTGTCACCAGTCACCAAAGTAACATAAAATAGAAGAGACACTAAACTCTATAGCTATACAGCCATTACATCCTCTATATCCTTTCATGAGTTATCGAGTATCCAGATACATCTTAGACTAGGTAATAAAGAGAGGACTCATAACGCTGCTGAAAATCTTGTTCCATTCTGATACCAACGATATTTGACCAAAGGCGTAACATGTTGGAAATAAAAAAACGAACTTGTATTTATGTTACTAGTACTTTATTTATCTTTTTAGGTATAAAGCAAGTTCAAACCGTAAAATTTAAAATAAATAAGTAACAATAAATAAGACACAAGAAAAAAAATATTGAAATAAACTGAATGAAATCGTTTACATAATAAAATGAGTGTTTTTTTTAAATTCCGCAAAATAAAACATAATCATCTACATGTATTACGAAAATATTTATTTTTAGTTAATAAAGAATGACACTACCCAGATAGCACAGACACGTTTTAAAGACATCTTAAAGACGTTTGTTCACAACTGTGACGTTTTAAAGATGTACGCTAATATCCAAAAGATGTTTTAATGACGTCTATAGGACGTACATTGTTACAAAACAAGGCGTCTTTAAGACATCCAATTTTGTACGAAGACAAACCGTATTGGACATATTTAAGCCGTCTATTAACTTAATGGAAATTCGTTTAAAAAAATTAATGAATACTTGTCTACTATATTGAATACTGTTTATTAAATATTATTAAACTATTAAAACTGACACATAGAGTAAATATTATTTTATGGTATTAATTTTAGCCAAAGCGTCTGTAACTAATGTCCCCGTAGCATATAATTTTGTTGAATTATTGTTTTAAGGTGTTTTTCTAAAAAATAAGACATTATTAAAGTGTGGTTATGTAATTAAAATTATTACGGTAATATTTTGAATTATACACAAAAGGGTTGCTAAATTCTTAAAAGTGCATAACATAATAATGAAAACTAATTAAAAAATATATATGTTATCAAAGATGGTATTACTTTATGGTTGGATTATAATTATTTCCCAAGTGAATGTTTTCAAATTTCATTTATTTTAATTTTAACATATAAAGCAGGAACTATATTTGTTTTTTGGTCTAATAGTTTATTAATTTATTTTTAATTTATACACTTGAACTTAATTTATTTGAATAATAAAACACTAATTTATCTCTTTTTTTTCTGAAGTCTCAAAACTGACATAACGACAAAGTTGGGCTATTTACATAAAATGTAGCCCTTCAGACTTGTTTCTGAAGATTCTAGACACCTTTGCCCTTTTCTAGACTGTCTTCGCCAAAACTTGTAATTTGACGTGAGGTTGACTTATTTCATCAAATACTCTTGGTAACGGGAAAATGGAAACCGTAATAGGTCCAAATAAGGCAGTTAGAGACTTAACGGATTAAAGAATGACCGGAGCTGCTAAAAATGGCTCGCCACATGACAATATTTCTTCCTTCATGCGATTATAGATTCTCCTTGTAATATACCTGATACTATAAAATTTCTAATATATTCTTTTTTTTTTCAGATTCACAATGAACACAACGAAAATAATATTGCCATATCGCCCTATGGGGCACTAACTATACTAGTAGCCCTGGGAGAAGGTCTCCAAGGAGAATCGGTCAACGAGTTACAAACAGCTGCACAAATACCAAATGATATTTCTACAATTAGAGTTGGACTTAGGGATATTCACCGCCATCTCAAGGTAAAAGAAATATACTTTATACTGAGTCCAATAATGGACGCGCCAATGATTGTAAATGTATTAAAATAAAAAAAAAGACTTTTCTTTTCTATAGGTACCGGCATGAAATACATTGATTTCGAGTCTCTGTCAAAAGAAGTAAATTTGCACCCATACAGGGTGAGTTAATCCAGATAAAGTTGTTCAAAGAATATAAATAAATCTTTTTACTTTTCTACTACAAATGCAGCACCAGTAAAACAAACTGGACGTACTGAGTACATATTGCAAGCTAGACTATAATATTTATATCTCACGGATAACTTTCTGAACAAGAACTTTCATAGTAGTCTAAGATTCAAAGGTTGATTTCTGCAGTGATTTGTTGTTTTAATAAAACTTAATTTAAATGAATGATTAATAACAATATACGAGGGCTATAAAGAAAAGACGGATGAATTTTAAAAAGTGAATTTATTACCAAAAGGAATGTACGCCTAGAGAACAGGATCATTTTATCCACTCTAGGAAAGGCAACCATACAGGCAAAAGTTACACGGAGCTGCCCACAAGGAGGAATATTATCTCCAATGATGTGGTCAGTTCTTGTGGACGACTTACTCAAAACTTTGTCCAAAGAAGGCTACCAGTGCTTAGGATACGCAGACGACCAAGCAATTATCGTCAGGGGACGATTTGCAATGATCTCAAACAGCCCTAAACAACAACTGGTGCAAAAAGGAACAATTGTCCATTAACGCACAAAAAACAACAGTTGTACCATTCACAAAAACGGGTACTTACAGGACTAAAACCACTAGTATTAAACAACACAGTTATCCCACTCGTTACAGAAGCCAAATAACTCGGAGTCATATTTGACCAAAGGCTGGCGAGGAGTGAACATCTCAAAAACTCACACACAATGCTACAATAGCTCTCATAAGCTGTAAAAGAATATGTGTGAAAAACTGGGGTCTAAACCCCAAAATGACCATATGGTTATACAGAAGGGTAATGAGACCCATGATAATATGTGGCGTAGTGGCGTTGGTAATCAAAACTGCGTAGGCAAGTGCAATAGGCAAGTAAAAAAGGGATAATGTTCTAGCTATGCCTACTGATAGAGCCATAACCACATACAAATTTGTAAGAAATTTTCAAATTCAAATACCAGCCCGAGAATCCTGGAAATAGGGACCTCCTGTACAAGCTGAACTCGTCTGGTACACAGACGGTTTAAAAACCAAGGAAGGACCCGGTGCTGGAATCTATGGACCCAAGTCGAAAACAACGATTTCGCTGAGTTTAGGAAAATATGCATATGTGTTCCAGACTAAACTAATAGCCATACAACACTGTGCAAATGAAATACTAAATCAGCAAGTATCAGGCAAAACTATTGCCATATATTCTGATAGCCAAGGGGCTCTAAAGGCAATTCTTTCACTAGAAATCAAATCATGACTGGTGAAAGACTGTCTAGAAAACCTGGCAGAGCTAAGTAGTTAAAACAAGGTGACCCTAGCCTGGGTGCAAGGCCATGAGGAATATCAGGGCAACGAAAAGGCCGACGAATTAGCCCGAGAAGATTCAGATAAGGCCAAGACAGGCCCCGAACCCTTCTGTGTAGTTGCTAAGGCATTGTGCAAGACATTCATCAAACAATGGATACAAAAAGAGTCTTAGGAATGGTAGAACAACTATCCAAGACTGAGACAGGCCAAATAGTTCATCAAGGAACCATCTGCCAAGTTCACGAAAGACCTACTGGATCAAAAGCGTCAAATCGTTAACATAACAGTAGGCCTTCTTACTGGCCACTGTCGCCTCAAAAGGCACATGAGTGTCATAAATCCAGCAGAAGAAACATTTTTGTGCATGTTCTGTAAAGAAGAAGAGGAAACATCATTTCACGTCCTGTATCAATGTGAAGGACTGGCTGGAATGAGGTTTCTAACATTGGGCGAAGAAAAGCCAAGTGCATGCAGGAGCCACTGTCGAAGATACTAACTCTAATAAAAAAGATCAAGCTAGACGACATACTCTAAAACAAACGGAATTCCATAATAGATCTGAACAGGTCGGGAACAAGGACAAATAACGTCCAACTCCCAATCTAATCTAATGTACATTAAAGGTTACTTTCCTACATAATCACCTTGACGATTGAGACATTTGTCATATCTGTGCACAAGATTTGAAATACCCTTTCATAAATTGTTGACGCCAGTGACTTGAAGTGAAATGTGATGATTTCTTTGAGCTCCTCGTCAGTTTGGAAGCTCTTCTCTCCCAAGCCACGTCTTCAGTTCAGGGAAAAGATGGTAGTCACTCGGACTATATGCTGGCTGTTCAAAAAGGTCCCATTGAAATTGTTCAAGAAGCCGTTGGATTACACGAGCAATATAAGGACGGGCATTGTTATGGATCAGAACAATTCCAGAAGTCAGCATGCCTCTTTTTTTTTTAATAGCTCTCAGTAAGCGTTGCAGTCTCACATTAAGAATCTGCAGTAATTATTGTCCCTGTCCACATAAACTCCACAAGAAACGAATAATACTTCGTAATTCATACTCGGCGGGAGAATCAATAGAGACACCCATGTTTACGTGACTGCAGCTCAACAAGAAATGGCGTGTTGGACTCAGCAGTGATGGAAGGGGAGAGGCATAGTCGCCTACTAAAAAAAATAGCCCTCGTAATACATTGCTGTTGAGTAGCCTATCAAAATTTAGGCGCAATTACCGTTAGTTAATTAAATTGTAATTAATTTATTTTAATAAATTCCAGCAATATGTTTTTTGAATAAATTAAACGTCATTTGAAAGAAAATAATGTGAAAAATCTTAAAAAATGGTTGCCAGCTCACAATCAGCCCCAGCCACCAGGTTGTCATATGTGAACAGGTAAGTCTCATTAAAAAGCAGATTACTTCAAAAATCAGCCCCCGGATCTTTTACTATAACTATTGAAATAACCGAAACTTATATATTTTCATTATATTATAAAGTAGGCTGTTATTAAAGAGTAAAAGCACAGTTTATTGCTAAAGAATCAGTTAGCTCACTTGGACCAGTTGAATGTTCCAAAATAATATCCACTCCAGGGATACAAATTCAGGATGCGCAGAAGACTGCTGTTTGAATATAGGCGGTTGTCATGTATTGGATTGATTATGATTTGATTCTGTATGCGCCAGGGATACAAATCCGAGTTGCGCAGTGTATAAACTGGAACATTGAGATCAAAAGTGCCGAAGCAGAGTAAGCGAACTGATTCTTTAGCTATAAACTGTGGTAAAAGTGGCATACGGAAAGCTAAATCACAGTAGGCTGATGTCCAAATAGCCATTAACATGGCTAAATAATTCCTGGTTTATACTTGAAACAAGTTTCAAGATCCAATATACAATATGTTAACCAACTCATCCAGCAGAATAAAAATGAGACGCTTAATTATATCTAGACGTGAGAGAAATAATGAGAGTAGCTCTCGACTCGCATATCTGCCTGCCGCAATTGGAAGCATGGCTACACCTCTATCGGTAGTGGAATAGCAAATGTGCTCTATTTCTGTCTATTCAATAGCACAACTAAATGTAGATTTACATAAGGCATTATGGGATCATATCGGCGAAAATGTATAGAAACTTATTATTTTTATGTGTTTTATCTGAATCCGGAAGATTGCCAACATATTCTGGGACACCCTGTATAATAATATATTAAAATTTAAAAGAAATCGTCAGATATCCAAAATCAATGTATTTGGTGCGAGTTCTACATTTTAAGAATACTTTTATCGATAATTTATCTACATTCTAAAAAACGAAGATAATTTATTAATGTGTATTTTTAAAAAATTAGGCACCTCTATATCAAGCCATTTTATTCATATTTGGGGGTGTATATAGTTTTACACGAAGCAGGTCTGAACCATACAAAACATTTTTTTTTGTCATTAATTATGCGGGTTCATTTTGTTACAAAGTGCATTTATTTTATCGTGAATACCCAAGTAAAACTCGATTGTACTAGGAATAAAAGTAATTTTAAAAAACCGACTTCAAAATTGTGCAGATGCTCTTAAAAATTGAGATTTTAAATTTTCAAATAGTTAATTAGATCCATAACAAATGCATACGGAAGTACCCCTGAGGTATCCCTTTTCTAACAACAAAAAAAAACAGAAATCTGACAACGTGGTAAAGAATTATCGCTGAAAATGCATAAAAAATTAAGGGTGATGATTTTCTCTTGTAGTCCATTATAAGATCTTGACCAAATTTATATGGCACAACCCCTGAGGTACCCCTTTCTAACAAAAAAAGAATTATAGAAATTGGACAACGTAGTAAAGAATTATCGTTGAACATACATAACAAAAAGTATTCCGACGAATTGAGAACCTCCTGCTTTTTGAAGTAGGTTAAAAATTAGTTTTAACTATCCCCTTTAGTGAACATTAAATTTGTCTAAAGACTCTAAAGTATAACAATTTTTATTTGAGAGTGACTCATCTGCGAATTACATTGTAGTCGGCCGGCAATAACGTTGATATAAAAACTAATGAAGAACTAGGCTTTATTAAACTAGAAATGCGCTGGCATTAACATGACAATAAACATAACTTCGGGAAGGTATACTACTTTGTTTGTTGTTTGTTTATAATTTTTGATTAAATGAAAGAGAATAGATCTTATATTGATAAATATTTTATTTAATGTCGGCAATTATGTATGGAATACAATATCAGATAAATGTCCGCCTCACAAATGCGAGCCCGTTTGAACACATTTTTCATTACATTCTCACACATTTTACGCGGTAGTTCATTAATTTCATCACGAATATTTTGTTTGAGTTGCTCAAGCGTTTCTGGTTTGTTTGCATAAACCTTGTTTTTCAGATATCCGCACAAAAAGAAGTCCGGAGCAGTCAAATCAGGCGACCGTAGAGGCCAATCAACATCACCATTTCTTGAAATAACTTGTTGTGGAAAGAGGTCTCGCAGTAATTCCATTGTAATCCTGGCTGTATGCGATGGGGCACTGTCTTGTTGGTACCACATGTTAATCAAGCCCAAAGCATGCAGTTGTGACGTTAAAAAGTTTTCAATCATATTACGATATCGCTCCCCATTCACAGTTACCGTTACGCCGTTTTCATTTTCAAAGAAGTAAGGTCCAAATATTCCTCCTGACCAAATTGCACACCAGACTGTCACTTTTAATGGATGCAAAGGTGACTGATGAATAATTTGAGGGTTTTCCATTCCCAGAACCGACTATTTTGTTTATTCACATATCCATTCAAATGAAAATGTGCCTCGTCATTCATTATGATTTTTTCATGAAAATCGGGGTTGTCATGGGCGAGCTGTAACATCCTATTGGCTTATGTACGGCGGCGTAAATGGTTTTGTGAAAGAAGCTTTTGTGTCAACTGAATCTTATATGGAAACAAATGCAAATCCTTGTTCAAAATTGTGGCTAAAGTTGTTCTTTGAAAACCAAGCTCCTGAGCACGGCGTCGAATTGAGGTTGATGGATTGTTTTGAACACTTTCTTGAGCAGCAGTAATGTTTTCAGCCGATCTTGCAGTACGTTGTGGTCCATGCTTGGGCCTATCACCTACAGACCCTCTTTCTTCGAAATCATTCACTACACGATAAATAGTGCGATTTGTTGGCACGTTGTTTCTCCCAAAAATTTCACGTAACTTTCACATCATCACAGTAATCGATGATTGATTTTGATTAAATGTTTTAACGATTAAAATACGTTGGTTTATCGAATATTTTTCTATAATAAATTTGCCACGTGTCTATAATAATAATAATACTCTCCCTAATTCACCTCCTTACGAGTGAATTTTAACCCCAAAAGCTGAGCTTGTGCGGGGAAAGGGACGGCTATTATTATTATTATTATTATTATTTGCCGTGGCGCTCCGGGGCGACTTAAAGATGATTGATGGTACCATTTGACTTACAGGTGAGGAAAATCTGGAAAACCTCACCCACTATCATCGAGACGGTAATGTATGGCGATTTTTTATAATCTGCATGTCATATCAACAGAAATTGAATTTCTATTAATACGGCACACATCAAATCCTATACCGAACCATGCAATTTAATTAAAAATCCACATGGTCTGGTCTGGGATTCGAAGCCCAGCAGTCTACTTCATGACTCCCAAATATGAACTGTCAAGACTAATGTTTACCAAAATGGCGGCAAAACAAAGCAGTATACCTTCTCGGCGGACACCCTGTTTAAAAATGATGTATAAATAATAACAATTAAGGTAGTCTGAGTGGATACCTCTGATTTACTGATGGCAATTCCAGTAGCTGTTCCACAAGGAGCTAGGTAACGATTAGATACGGTTACTCTTTTTCCATCGCAGATGAGTCTCCTTCAAATACAAATTGTTATTCTATAGACAAATCTGGAATAGTCTGATAATTTTAATTATATCAGCAGATCCAAGAGGGAGGAAAGGCAACGGGGCAATTGTCCCTTCTTACGGCTAATAACCCTAGTAGTTGATATTTTTTATTTACTGTTAAAGTCTAATGAAAAAAAAATCAGCTTACGTTATGAACTCAGAAAATCCCCCACCCCTTTGAAAAGGGTTTGGATCCGCTACTGCTAAGTTAAAACTAAAAATCCAAATATGTTTAATTTAAAACAGTTATTACTAGTTTTTATTAAGAATATCAGCTAAAAATATCATACAACCTAACTGTAATCTTTATTTTTTCGGACAGGTGATCATACCTTTTGGACACCAGGCAACTGGATCAAAGGTATATGGTAATGTGATATTCATGGGTAGAAAGTGCAGGACCATTTTACCCATCCATTTTGAGCCGTTGTCTTCATTTGTCCTCTGTTCCATTTTTCTTTATCCTGTAAAATTAGCTCTGATATATTATGTGCCACAATTATGCTTGGTCTTGTCTTTTGTGGTCCATCTTGGACAGTAGAATAGGACTGATTCTGTTGTATGTATTTCATTGTAGTACCGACATTTCTTATTTGTCTTCTTGTCTATTCTACAGAGATGTAAGCAAAATACTTCATATTTTGTGAGACTTTATTTTGAAAAGAAGTCTATTTCAGCCTCATGCTCTATTGCTGCATGCTTTTATATCTTTGCTACAAATTCTTGCTCATCCATTATATTGGCATCACTTGGTTTGCCTTTTTGTCATGAGGTTTTCTTTAACCGTTGCTCTGTCTTGCCCTTTTCTGTTACTTCCATTATTCCTTCCACTTTTTGTTATCTTGGAGTTCTACCGTTATTGGAACCGATATTAAGCTTAACCTAACCTAAAATTTACTGAACACCTTAGTAAAAACTAGCTTTAACTAAAATAAGTTTAGTCAAAATTAGAATCAATTGAAAATATTTGTTAATTCTAGTTTTTTACTAGCTAAAACTAGTCTGATCGGGTTTTAACTAAATTCATGTATTTACGAAAATATAACCATTTTTACAAAACTGTAATATTTTATCTCTTCATTTTCAGAGTTATTTCATCCCAGCTGAAGGTTTCTTAGCAGGGCTCACGCTTAACAATCACAATGTATCTTTAAAACATGGTTATAAAGAAATTTTAAAATTTTACGGCTTTGACATCATGTCATTCAATAATGCGCTGTACCCAGATCCTCCGACAACAAAAAAAGCAACGACTACTACCACGACAGAAAGGATTTTTTGGGAATTGACCATGAAAACGACACCAACATTTATTTTAATGCCTACTATTGAACCTGAATCAAATTCCGAAGAATCTTCAGAAACGAATTCACTTACCACAAATACCAAAGATTTTACTTTATTTACAATTGCTAAAGATACCACTACTACGAAATCTCCTGCTTCGACTACAACTACTAAAGAATCTACCATAACTACCAAAGAAAGCGTTCGTACAAAATCTCCTGTAATTACCACAACTGCCAAAGAAGAAACTACTACAGAATATGTTGTACCTACGACGATTACCAAAGACATCACTACTTTTAAATCTGTAGAAAGTATTCCTTTTACTGAAAAGAGTACTGTACAATATACAACAATCGAGACAACCACTAAAATACCCACAATCACTAGTACAATAACTACTCCAAAACAAACTACTGAAATCACAGAAAGTACGCCTACTACCAACGCTAACGAGAAGCTGACGGTTAGTACAGAAAATCACAGCGATGCAAAAGAAACTTCAAAAACAAGTACCAGTCTAGATAGTACTACAACAGAAATAACAACTGTTCAAGGAATTACTTCAACTATAGAAACTGTTACAGAGGAATTAAGTACTATACAAGTTGCAGAGAGTTTTACCGAAAACGATGCGAGTACTAAACAGGAAGAAAATACAGGTACATATTTAAATGTTTATGAATATTATTTATTTATTTTAATAGTAATAGTAATTTAAGTTGAAAATGAAGCACACATTGTCTGTCTATTTTTTTTAATAGTTACATAAAATATAATTAAAATCATAGTAACATACATTAAAGAACTTAATCTTAATCTTTAGATGATTCTTGATAAGTTTCAATCATATGTTTTAAGGGGCTGCTGAATATGCTGTATCATGGTATAACAAATAAAAGGTAGGATATCAACAGTGTCAAAAATAGGACAGCCATGCACATGACGTCACGCGTAGAGTTTGTATAGGCGCGAATTAAAAATACTGACGAAGTGTGAGGAAAATATATACTACTTAAAGAAATTTGATGAATATTAAGGATAATATTTTAGAAATTACATGAAATATCTATGGGTAGTAATAGGGGATAGTTAAGGAAACAACTATGAAGGAACATAAATGAAAATACATACAGTTTTTTTTCATTTTTTTAAGTGATTTCTTTTGGTTATACAAATTCGACTAATCAGGATAATGAAACAGAGGGTATCTTCGCAACTCGAAACTGGGGATCCTGGTAACAATTTCGCAGCTGAGTATGCCGGAAATTTTAACCTGACCAGGATTTGCAACTGGTTACTCATTTACCTGAATTATATTATTCAATTGAATAAAAATAAGTTTTAAAAATATATTTTTTTTTCATATAATATATTGCAGACATTCATATAATATAATGCAAAACATAAAAAAATGTACCAAATACAAATATCTGCTACATAAAATATGGTGGCTGCATTTTTCCTGAACCTAGTCGCTGACAGTTTTTTAATTCTTTCATCAAGTTCAAGTCGAAATTTTCTTTTTTTTTTGGTGACATTTACAATTTCACTTTTGCTTATATTGCAAATTTTTTTTTTTTTTTTTAAAGGATAGAGTCTCTAGTTTAGAAATCTCAAGTTATGAATGAACCAATGTGTTTTACACTGGTTCATTCACAACTTTACATTATGTGAAGTTCTAATTTGAGGTCCCTCTTATAATTGGAAGGTTGAAATTGCTTTGAATACATCAGGGGCGTGCGGTCCATGGAAGCGGGGGAAGCACCGCTTCCTTACACTTTGAGATTTAAAAATAAATATTTTTCAGTTTACAATCATATAAATTAATATTAAATTAGGTACTATATTTTCTCTGAAACATTACGTAAACTTCGTAAATATACTAACAATTCATTGGTGTAATGTGTAAACGAACGCACCACCCATGGGAAAATTAATTGTGTAAACGCACACCATATACTTCGAGTCCGTCGGCGAAAGCGCGCCTTGAAAAATCCCGCTCATCTTCCAATTGATTTTGCTTGCCGCGACAGTAGTCAGTGTGTTTAGACACGTAAAATACGATCGAGAGGCAGCGATTTTTACTTCGCCTTACGCATATTGCAATTCGCACTGCGAATCGATGTGTGAGGAAAATCGTAGACTTGATAGATTTCGGTTTGTTTTTCGTAGTTGTTTTTCTTTTTGTAAAATGGAGAAACTATGCACTGTGCCTGTGAGCAATAATAATGTGGTAAATTGTATCTGTATTGTGTACTCTTTATTGAAAAAAGGATTTTCAAGTAGAAATTTTGAAGAGAAAACGGATATTATTAATTCCAGTAGACTAAAGGATCCTATCAATTTAGAGACGAAAGTACTGGGTCTTCAACAATACCGAAAACCCACGTGACCAAAACGTCATGACAGCGATTGGTGAAAATAAAAGTAAAAATCCCTAGATTTGAGCCAGTGCCGTAGGTATTTTATTACAAAATAGATCTTCTTCTTTTTTTTATGGTCTGCAACTACGAGAACAAAATTTAGTTAGGTAACTATTAGAATTACAACACAATATCATAATATTAATTTGAGGTATTTTACATTATTGTATTTTCACGTTAGAATTCGATATTTTAATTAGATTTAGTCAAATGCAATAATCTAATTTTTTAAATCATGATATAATTAACATAACCTTATAAACTGAAATATGGTTATTGCCAGTATTACAAAAAAAAACCTTTTGCAGAAAGTTATGGATAAAAAACGTTATTTATTAAAATATGAATAAAATTAAAAATTTACTTTAAATTGACTCTAAGATATTTAGCTACAGCTGAAACTTTAAATACGACAGGCAGAAGATAATGGCAGTATTTGACAATTATTGCAGCTTAAGTAAACGAATTTAAAACTTACTGGGATTGTACCTGGGCAATGGAAAGTAATAAATAAATATTTTTTTAAGTTTGTTCTATTATTTGTTACATTTACAAAATACATTGTTACTTATATGTATACAAAAAAATATTATTTATGTAACAAGCACATATTTGTTTTACCTTATAGCTCTCACTTCTCACTTTAAATTATAAAGGCATACCTATTAACAACTATTTTATTTAAAAGGATATCGAATAGTAATCGGTGGTGCACAAACGATACTAATTCACAGTACCTATTTGTTCAAAATCTTTACCACCAGCTTTAATGCAAGCATTAATCGTTCTTTTTTGAACACATTATGTAGTGTCTCCTCAGTTATATTTTGTATTTTATTTAATATAGGTGCTTCAGTTCATAAACGTCACACAAACGATTTTGAATTGAGTGATCTGTAATATTCCATGGGTAGGTTTAACAAAATTAAGGTAAAATGATTGTTGCAGTACCAAAACTTTCTTGGGGGTGAATTATCAGAAATATTTTCAATATTTTATGGCTAGTTCGTGGCGACAAACCTAAAAAAAATATGTTTTGAATTTTATTCGTCAGAGTCATTCTATGAAACACTGTTCATACCTGTTTGAGGTGCTGTTTTTTTTTACTAATTTATTGGGAATTTGGACCATGTTAATTCGCACATCTTCAACAGCTTTTGTTATTATACTGTGGGCCTTTTAGAGCTTTTTCCTTTTTTTATAATTTTGAACATGTATTTGTTTATGAAGACAAAAAAGAATCACATTCCATTTATTCACCTGAAAAACGTTCCTCAAATTTTCGAATACAATTACGAATATAAAATAATTTTGTTGTTCCTGTGTAACACCTGAAATAAAATATATAGTCATTAACTTTTACGGTTTACAGTAAACAAATTTGTACTTACCAACAAAAAAGAATTAAGCCAAAAATAATCTCTAAAAATAACTAATTGCTTTATTAATATTAATTTAAAACTGGAATATAGTTGTTTATAAAATGTAAACAAATATAATATAAATATTGTCAGTCCCCAAATGAACACCAGTGACATTTCTGACAGGACTGACAGTTCAGTTTGGTTCCTTTTACGTCAAATCAGGCCCTTTCGATGGGTTTTTGATGGTTATCAGATCACGTGGGTTTCGGGTATTGTTGAAGACCTGGTAGAAAAGTTATCAAAGAAATTTACCAGGCATTTTCACGTAGGGTTCTATGAAAAGTATGAATGGTTAACCGGCTGCAAAACTTTGAAGAAATTGTTTTGCTTGCCTTGCCTACTTTTTAATATAGCCAAAAAAACACATTAGAACTCAGTCGGTATTACAGACTTGAATAGTTTTCACAAAAGTGTAAAACGACATGTAAATAGCAAATCTCATATAAGTGCTACAATTAAAGAAAAAACATTCAGGACCTATCGCATTGAACATAGTTTGGATAATCACTTAAAAATAAGCAACAAAATTCACAATGAATGGGTAAAAAACAATAAGGACGTCTTACAACAAGTAGGTAATAGATGTAACCTGTTTCCTGAGAGTGCATGAACTAAGTTTTAGAGGTCACAATGAAGGAAGTGGATGCGCCAATCGAGGAAATTACATGGACCTTCTGAGTTTTTTAGTAAAATACGATGATACCCTAAAAAATCATTTTATTGATTCGACGACTTTCCGAGGTACCTCAAACAGAATCCAAAATGAATTAATTAAATGCACTGCCGACGTTGTGATGGATCACATTAAAAGTGAAATTAAAAAAGCACCTTTCGTATCAATTGCGCTTGATGAAACTACAGATGTAGCAAACTTAAGTTAATTATCCATTGTTGTGCGATATGTTGTAACATGATAATTGTTATTTTATCTATTTTTGACAGCGTTTTAAGCTCTTATGATTTTTGGGAGTGGGTCAGGTTATTAAATAACTCGTATTACTTTGAAAAAGAATGTTGAACGCTACTATATTTAAAACTTACTAAACTTGACTATCGATTAATGATAAAAATATAGAAAATCACTAACCATTAAGATATTATAATTAAATAAGGTTTTAGATAAGGTAGCGACAAATTCTAATTTACAGAGACTTACTTATTCAAATTTAAATGATTTATTCAAGACTTATCTGTAAACAGGAGGTAGTATATAAGGAGTTTCTTGTAGAGGCCTTCTTCAAAGGGATTCGTATGATACACTTCGGATATCACCAACTCTTAAGTATAAATCTTCATAGGTAAACTTAAATCTCATAAACTTCTTTAGATGACTCGAACTAAACCTCTTGATATACTTGAAATAAACTTCTGTAGCTGGAACTAAACTTCTAAGTTTCTATACTTCTAAACATCTAAACCAATGACATATAGTATATATAGACTGCCTATCCATATGTAAATAAAGCGATGAAAAGCGGGTCGAACTGGGAGATGTTTTCTCTTTGTCTAGTACATGCAATGTTTGTGTTTTGTCTCAATTGTAAGTGCTCACTGGTAAACAAACCTTATACAGAACCGGTTCAGAAGAAAGTTTAGTTTAATTGAAATTTTGATGTCACTGTCATTGCTGAGTTGAACATTTTTTTGAATTATTCATTTTATTAAATTTTAATTATACTTATGTTCTGTTTTAAGTTTTTGTAATTAATTGAATATAAAAAATTGTTTTGTTTTTGAATTTAAATGGTGAATTGCTCTAGAAACCTGCTCTATAAGATAAGCTACAGAAATATAAAAAGTAACATTTTATTT